AAAGCATGATAGTATTTAGCATTAATATTTACATTATATCTCGTAAAAGATTTTTATCGTGGTGCTTATATAATTTCGACCGACAGTTCATGCAGAAATAATTGAAATTGAATTAAAATAAATTTAAATAAATAATTATAAGTAAAATAGGCAAATACAAACAAGCGTAAGGTTAATAAAATGCGTACCTTTATTCTATACTGTTATACTTTATACAAACAAAAAATGAAAAAGCGAACGTTTCGGTTCCTTCTTTTAGGCCATTTTCAGCGCAAATATTAACTAACTAAGTCGTAAAATAATCGCGTTTCGCTTTTTCATTTTTTGTTTGTATAAAGTATAACAGTATAGAATAAGGTACGCGTTTTATTAATCTTACACTTGCTTGTATTTGCCTATTTTACTTATAATTATTTATTTTTGATTCACGAGCTAGTACATTTTATATAAATTTAAATAGCTGTTTCTTTTATATTTAAATTCTATTAATATTATCCTCTTTTTATTTAACAGACTTTGCACCGATTATAATCAATGGAAAGAATCAACTTTCCTAATGATTTTTATAAGATTAGTGTTGCGCGCCGAACCACGTTTTCTCGAAAAAGTATCTCGAGTTTAACGTGGCCGATTAAATCGCTTTTCAACCAACTTTTTTAATCCACCCTTCCACGTCCGTATTCTGCTCGTTAAGAAACATCTTTTTAATCGTTTTTATTTAGTCCGATCCACGTATTTACGCAAGACTGCTCTTTCGATCAACTTTATACGATGAAAAAAAAATTACAATTTCTCTCGAATTAATCAGAAAAGCACGAAGAAAAAAAACAGGCACTAAAACGAGAAATTCGTCGTTGACGGCCCAACTCGTTTGCCCGTTATGATGAAGTATCGGGCTCACTGGCGTAAATCACAATCGCGAATAACAATTTCGAGTTTCGATAGTCTTGCTCACGGTGTTCCATTCACATCTCGAGTGAATCACGATCGTCTTTCCGTCTCTCTGTGCCTTGAGTTATTTATTGTCCGTTAAAACTTGAAGCAAAACTATACTTCCCTTGACGCGCCTTGAAGTCGTACGCGAGAAATGTCTTGAAAATAAAGTGCGCATTTCTACACTATTTGATTTGATTCGAGTAACGAAAGACGTATAAAAATGATTACTTTGGAAAAATATCAAGATTTATAGACGAGTATATGTTTTTGTGCATTTTATGTTTGTCTTTAAATAATCATAAAAATAAAATATTTATATGAATAACGTGTTATATAATTATTTAATTTTTACATGATTATTTGAAGACAAATATAAAATACAATATAATATATAATACATACGATTATTCATTTAATTTTTATTAATATTTCAAAATATCAATAACTCTCTGCATATTTGCCCTGGAAATTTTTTGTTAATATAATTTTACATTAATAATCAAAATATAAACGATAAAATGTGAAACATCAACTATTTTGTCGCGCACAAACGATACATTTACATTGCGAAATAAATATTTAAAAAATAATGGGTATCAATTATGTTTCGAAACATTGATAAAAGCTACTCCTGTTATTAATCTAGGATCTGAAAATTTGGAAAATTGGACTTTGTGTAGTTTCGTTTATCTCGTTATTGAGTTACAAAATGCTGAGAACAGCTGCAGCCGTCACTTTCCGCTGCGATCAGCCGCGTACGAGTGATAAGAACTATGATGGACGACCTGTTATTACCAAACGTCAGAAGGCACTGCGATTTCCACAAGAATTATTGCCAAATACTGCTCTGAAGTAACGATTTGGCTGTATGTCTGACATACTGCGACTTTTTCCATCACGTATTCTCTCATTTCTTATATCGCGGAAAAAATTAGGCACTTGTTGTGCGCACAAGTTTCTAACATTTTTTATACATATAACTTTATACATGAGAAATAAGTTTTCTTGAAATTCGACAAGACCAGAACTTTACGATGCAGCAACTTTCTGTAATATATTTTTTTAATCACGTGTACAATTTTCAAAATACATAAAAATATTTATACGTTATGCATGTATTGATAATGAAATACGCTGTTAGTTCTCACATTGTGATATTAATTGTTTGTTTAATTTAATAATCTCTGCAATTTAATCTCTTGGAGAATAATCCTGACCGCTCGTTGTAAATTAATTAAATTTCGATACAGGCAGTAATAACCGTTTCTATGACGACTATAATATTCCAGCGGACGAGTATTCGTGATATGTCTCTCGTTTGATGCATATTGCTCCATTTACATTGCTCCAGAAAGACTATACTTCCGATCTATATCAATATTTCCGCCGTAAATCGCGAAATCGGAGCCTTTTACGCGGGAATGTACCACCGGATTGGTGAAATAATTTTTTTTTTTTTTTTAGTGCACCGGCTACGAAATAACTAGATTTATTAAAGTCGTTCCTGTCTTCGTATTACGCGCGGGCAGACTGTATAATTAATCAGGAGCCACACCGGCACACAGGACGTGACAGAAAAATCGACGTCCCGTCGTCGTCGTGACGGATGACGCGGCGCGACTGCGATGGCGCGCGCGCGCGGCTATATGTGAGTTATCCTATTAAATATTCAATTATTTCTGCCTTCCACTCTTCTGACGTCTGGAATTCGCTCGGCGCGACGGCGCGCACCGCCGGGCCAAGCTTAATCCCTATTCATAGACTCAATCGAGTGATTTCGAATAAATCCTTCCAGCGTTCCGCGAGATCCGCTGCAATTAAAATACTTTAATATCCTTTGGAGCACGTACCGTGCTCCGGGCGATGCCTTCGCGAACCTCCTTTCCCTCTCTTCCCGAAACTCACCATTCCCAATTTCTTTTTGGTACGCTTGCTCTTATTAAAACGTCCCAATGCCGCCGCGTGCCTCCGGAAAGCACGTTCGCATCTTCTTCAAAGCGTCCTTTGTATACGGAGTGTAGAGGGCAAATTCGGACTCTCTCCCGATTCCTCGCATCGCAACGAATAATCGCACGCAAATTTACAATATCGCTTTTACAAAAGCCGCGAGAGACACGCTTTGAGAGACACAAACGAATAAGTTTAAATAATTTAAGCCAGACTACAACATTAAGAGTCTTCTCGAGCGCGTAATTCGATGATTATTCAATAAGCGCTGTTTATTCCAGGCGTCTTACATCGGACGCACACGTAACTTTCAAACAGAGATCAAAGTAAAAATAATTTATCATGCTTCTGTCGGACGATCTATCACACCGATCGCACGTTGCACGCAGAAACACTTTCTGCGAGAAGAAACGGGTGCGTCAGCTGTGTGAAATCGCTCAGGGAAAGTCGATTTTTATACGATCAAGTTCATTCGGAGGTGGCGTGTGATGCGTGGGTATCAAGATTTCTGTGATATATGCAGAAAACTTGGAAAATGCTACTCTACACGCTCGCCACTTTATGAATTTTTGTTTACGTAGCATATTTCCCCTTTCCCAGAAGATAAATGCAGAAAAATGATGGAAGGATCCGAGACATTAATAAATCGGTCGAATGATATTACACGAAATATAAAACGCAGATTTATAATGAACCCTTGTACTGCATTTATCTGGATCCACTTTGAATCAACTTGGTTTTTGTTTTTCAGCCAAATCCTGGCTTGGTTTTATCGATATTATCGCGTTTTTTGGACAAAGTCACAACTCGGGCTTATTTCATGCGAAATGACACGGCATCTCGTCGGGGAGATATCACTATACCTACAGACCGTTAACACAATCGAGCACGTTTTGGCAGCGTGCGTAGAGACGAACGGCTCCTTTAGTAAAAATAATCCGCCGCCAGTCTCTCTCGTGATTATGGCCGACCCATATAAAAGTTTCACCACAAACTCCGTATCCTGGCCGCGATACGTGCCACCCTCTCTTTCGCCTGTAGTTCTTTCCCGGATATCTTTCCTCCGCATCCGCGCTTTTCCTCTCTGCCGTAACCTTTCACAAGCGTGTCTTCCAACTACGATCTTCCTCTTTGTTCCCCGGGCCAAGGTAGTTCCACATTCGCGAGAGTGTACTTTCAACTAGCGAATCCGACAGCTGCATCGAATCCTGGGCTTCGTTGCAACGAAGAGCGAGGGATGGGCGGCGGATGATGGTACGGCATCGAAATAGTGGGGAAAGAAATGGGCTACGGCTGGATGAAAGTTTAGCGGCGAAAGAAAGGCCAGCGAAATTTCCATCGATACCGGGGCCTTCTCTCGGAACCACTTCCGTACTTATGAATAAGTCGAACGAGTGTCCTCTCAGGCGTTTCTTTTCGCCCTCATTGTTCCTCCTTTTCAGTCGGTCGATCATCATCAGTTTTCATCTCGAAATTCAGCAGACACTTGGCCATTAATACATTTTTAATCCCGTCACGCTCCAGACTGACATATTGCAAAATTATCTTAATTATCTTCATTATTTTGCGAATAATGGTCGATTTACTGTCTCTTTTTTAGCTTTAGTCTATATACGAAAATGATACGTTTTATAATCGGCATTATAATTAAATTATTCAATGGAATAAGTGACTTCGTATCAGATATGTCATGATTCAAGAATAATTCAAGGAAGAAAAATTAAAATCTTGACGATATAATTTTATTTAGAATTAACTCTCTTCTTATGATTTTTAATTATTACATATATTACATACTTGTCAATATTATTATACATTCACACGAGAAAGAAATAGGCTTATATGCAAACTCAATCCTATCGCGCACAGATAGGTGTATTAAAGTAAAATAATTAGAACTTAAAAATTTTCCCGGATAATAATCAATTTTAAGCAGTTTATTGCCGAACTGTGTGGTTCTATGAAAAATGTCGTGAAATCACACAGAGAGAGAGAGAGAAGCCGACTCGCTCGGCTGGCGCTAACTGTGCGACGACGTTAACGTAAATCCGCGAACCGTGCGTGCTGTTTCCAGCGCGTTAATTCGTATATCCACCAGCTTTCCGCTTGTGTTTCAGACAATGGACCGCCCCCCGTGGAGCAGAGCGATGACGGATGGTTGAACTTCACAAAAATCACTCGGGCCGAGAGCGGCTGGTACAAGTGCTACACGCGGCATATGCTCGGCATTTTCACCAGCATCGGATATTTTCTCAATGTTCGCTGTGAGTAAATCGTTGTCACGCCACTTTGTCGCTTTCAATAACGTAGATAGGATTTCTCGCGCATACGAGCGGGAACACATCAAGAGCTAATAAATGCATTTTGTTCTGATAAAAAAAAAAAAAAAAATAAAAAAATAAAATTACGAAGTGAAAGCGTATTCCATGTGAAAAAATTTTAAACAAATATTTCGTAACCCGGTCAAGATTTTTTTTGTTGTAAATGTAAAATTTTTATTACTGTTAATATAAGAAATATAAGTAAGTAATGCAACAAGAGATGTAAAATATTATTATTGCATGCGCGAATATATTAGTGATTTGTTTGATATATATTGCACTTTATAAGCCATTTGAGATACAATAGAACATATATTATTTTCGCAGAAATTTATTCACATGATTTTTTTGTCGGATAATTATATGCTGTAAATTTCTTTCTCAAATTAAGCATTTCATCAAATTACGTATCTTGTAATTTGTCGTAAAAAAATAATATTAATAATATATTAGATGTGAAAATATTAATAAATTATAGTAGCATATCGCGGTGAAAAATCTACATAAAACGACAACAACAGACGACGAGAGATAATTACATCGAAGTTACACTTTTCGCTTGATGTATTGTCTACCTCCTGCGCATTTGATAGCACTCGAAGAGACATTCTCCTTGATTCGGAATGCGAAGGGGGTCGTCGCTGTAGCCAATAACCGGATACCACAGTCATTTGTCAAGAGCGGAAACCGCCGAGCCAACCGGAAATTATCCGTGCCCCGTCGTGAAAATTTGCAAATTTCCTACCTAGCCCCATTCCTTCCATCTTGCCATTATAACCAGAGGGCGATGCGCTCCCTGCATTTCAAACCGGCGTGGAGGTCCTCTCGTTCCTCTTCTCCCGTTCACTTGTCCTCTATCTAACCCTCTATCCATCCTCTCTATCTCTATCTCGCTCGCTCTTGTCTGCTCCTTCGACCGACGATGCTGGATACGGGCTTCCGAGCACCTAATCTCTACGCAATTTAGATGGCTCGAGAGCACCTATAAACCAACCATCCTCCTTCGTGGAAATTATCGATTACACTGCTACTACGTCCTGTTCGAATCTCCTCCTGGATTACTTATCCGCCGGATAACGTCACGGCGGGTTTAAACCGACGCGCTAATTTCGCCGGCTTGTAGACAGTCTACAGATAGGACGTAGTTTAAAGGGACACCCCTTAGCAAGACCGGGGAATCAACATTATTGGCACGCGAATAGATTTTTCTCAGGTATTTATCAAGATAAACAACGCGAACATATTCTCCATATATTATAAAAAAAATATATATGTAAATTTTATATATATTCAAAATGTTTGAATATTTCATGGAATATTTATATTTAAAATATGTATATATATATATATATATATATAAATTCATCAAATCCTTAGAAGAAAATTAAATTAAATTATCGTATGTTCTATCAGAGAATTACTTCATAATTTTGAATGAAATATCCTATAATGTTCAAACGTGGATTCAACAAAGCATCTTAGATGTGCATAATTTAATTAGCAGGAACACGAAAGGCATATCAAAGTAATTAGAGATAACGCGATCACAGACGGACGAGTGTATGAGATTCTTAATCGCGTTAGTGCACGCGAATCGCATTAAGATTTAGAACGATCACAAGCCGTTGCTGCGGAAGAAGGAACGGATATATCATCAAATTTGAAGGTAACGAGAGACCTGTATCGAAAAAAAGGGAGTAATGCCGGCGGACGAAAAATGTCAAATTACCGATTTGATTACCGGCCTTTTTCCTTTATTCTTTTCTCTCTCCCATGTTTGTTAAAGCGCCGCAGTAGAGATGTTTGCTGTAAAATTCCGAACAAACTACAAGACAAACGAGGTATAGTCGGGAGTCGAGCGAGCGTAAGAGAGGAAGTAAAAGCCTCCTACGCACCACTTTGATCCCTTTGTTTTGCTATAGGATGAGCCAGAGGATCAGCTTGCTAACTCAAAGGACTGCTACTCTCTCCCGTTCCTCGCTTCTTTCTCTTTCTCAGCCGAATTCCACCGTAGCAGTCCGGCTCTAATTCTCGAACAGAGACACGAGCAATCCTCTCCCACACACACCCACCACACATCTACCCTTTCCTCGTCCTTCCTCTTTCCCTTTGCCACTCTGTAACTGTGGACGTAGCGCTAGCTGGAGAGCAAACTATCGTAGCCGTATAATTCCATAGGTGGAATCGGAAAAGGATGACGGGAGAATGGGGTAGAAGTTGGAACGGACAGTACGTCGCGACGTAATGTCGCGGTGGAAAAGATTTTGTCGAGTCCGGCACGTGAGGGTGGAGATTCCGTTTCAACTTTATCCCTCGTACGTGCCGCTGATTTCTGATACCAGAGTAATTCTTCGATATCGATGATGGTGGACGGACGATACCGAATTAACAATTCGGAATAATTACAAAAAGTGAAGGAAATCTTTCAGTTTTCTTTTTTTGTCATTTTTATGGCTCGCAAAATTTCGAGAAAATATATACTTAACGATAAAAAATGTATGAATAATATCCTAGTTTTCTGAATACAAAAAAAAATCTCTCGAAAAACGTTATGATTTTTTAATGAAAAATTACATATTTCACTGTATATTTTGCAAAATATAGAAATAAGATAATCCGCACACTGGAAGAAAAATGTAAAAGCACCAGACGAGCGCTGTGTCCGCATTGTAAATTATTTAATTTCGCTCACTTAATGTATACAATATAAGAGAGAAAAAAGCGCCCCACCAACCTACATTTAAGTTACGAGTCTAGAATGGATCGCACGTCGAGAGATTTAAATTAATGGCATTTAGATGATCCAGATATGGAGACGGAAGCGGAGGCGCTGAACGGCGAGGCGACCGATTCCCGAAGGATGGAGGTGCAGATCGGCGGCGCGGTGACCCTCGAGTGCGACGGTGGTTGTTGGGGCCATGGACCGGGAATGGATCCGGTGGGTGGACCCGGACCTCTCGCTCTGAGCCGAGTCGTGTACCAGGAGGCTGGAGAATATCGATGCGTCGCGCCCGATCGGAAAATGCAGGACACGTGGCGAGCCCAGTTACCATACCACATCAAAATCACCGGTGAGTCCGATCAAATTTTTATCAAAGCGGTGTTACACTAGTCAAAGTGGTTCTCGCGTTCCGGAATCTTTCTGCTCGCGACGGGCTAAACGGCGTAGAAATTATCCGAGATTCGATTAGATGAGTCACACACGTCCACGAGTTACAAATTGTATTGTGATTCACGTGACGTCGGTAATGCACGAGATATATTGTTGCCGCGATTGGTATCTGACGAACATAACATTGTGCGGTGCGTCGCATTGTGTTCGGCCGCATTGTAGGTAGGTTGCGGCTAACTACCTTGTGCGCGCTATCTGGTTCTAAATTTAATTATAACAGAGCCGGCATTGCATTAACCGTGTTACGGGGTGGCAACACATTAATTATCGGCTTAAACTTTTGACGACCCGTTGATGAATATGGCAGAACGTTGCGCGGAGTTAATGCATTCCTTTAATCTGTTTAATGTAGTTACGTTTCGCTAAAACAAATAAACTCGAGCTACGCTCAAATGGTATAATTCGTGCATTTACGTTGCACGCAAAGTTATAGCGCGCACGTGATTTCGACGAGTCAAATAAGATACTGCATTATGAAAGAGACAAGTCAAATGAAGAGAGCATATTTGACGAGTATATCTAGATTGATTAGGAAACATTACGGGAAAATGAACAAAGCAAACTCTTGTAAATATAAATAATCTCTTCATGCATGTTGGAATTAGTGTATAAATCGTAATCTACCTAAATTAGCTACAATTAAAAAGCGGTGCCTTGTTACATTAAATAATGAAAGAAAAATTCGTTTTTCCGCGATGAATTTTAAACATCAAGGATCGAATAAGATAATAATCCATGTGCATTTCCGCACTTGTATTCGGCTCTTTCCAAACTAAAATTATTTGAAAAAAAAAAAAAAATAACGCTAATGCGCGAGATGAATTTATCTTTATTTTAGCCACAAAAGCAGGCCGCGTTTTAGTCACGAAATTTCTGCAGAACTGTGGAAATGGTAGAAAGAAAATTTTAATTTGTTACATTAATTTGTTCTCTCAGATAAAAACCGTTACGGCTAGCATTACATCGTGATTATGATAATATTTTTTAATGGATATGACTGAATAATAACCATCGTAATGTTTTAATGTTACTGTGTGAAGCCATACGGCTAACGATTACATAAAAGTTACACACCACGTGTAGAGTAATTAAATACTTTTTCACCGTCACATCGCGGCCGGAAAGAATTAATTAAACGATGAGAGTGTAAAGCATTTTCATTCGTTATTAAAGCTACATAGTAGCTCTTAGTATTATTTGTCGCCGGGCCGTCATAACGCCACAAAACTATAGTAGGTATATTATATTCTCTCTTATTTCTCCGCAAATTATCTAAGATTACTGGATAAATATACATATAATGTACTGTGTATGTGAGAGAGGAGATACTATTAATTATTATTTCCACATTGCATTTTTTCGAATATATATTACGATTTTATAAATTATATAACGTTAAACATTATCTGTATTTTTAATAATTGACTTTACGTTTTATATTACTTTTCCATAATAATCACAGTATCATTGAGACAGTAAAAATCTTTTGATCCTAAATATTCTTATTCATCTATATTTTCAATTTTATAATTGACTTCAGCCGAGAAAATACATAAAGTTATCAAATTAGAGCAATTACAAAAAAGATATTTACATATATTGAATTTTAATAAAATCTGAAATTCTTAATAATAAAATAATGCGTTATATCCTTGCATTCTAATACGATTTTCCATAATTTATTAAACGCTTTGAGTCAAGATGTTTTTTCTTTTTAAAAATTACATGTATAATACTTGGGTTTAGAAACTCGCATACTCTTTATCGCAATACGAAAGTCCCTGTATTTACTTAAAATACGTGAGTCTGGGAAGATCGCACCTGAATCGAAGCTAAAGTTCCCGAATGCGATTTAGAATCTGTGCGTTTTTATTTCGCGAAAATCTCGAGAGACCAAAGCGAAAGCGGATGCTGGTAAAAGTTGAGGATACGTAGGTAGGTAGGTACTCGGTGCAATACAGCTGTTGGTCGCTTAAATGCGCACGTAGCATACTCTTCGGGGATAGTGGTCAACAGAACGTGACGTCGTATAAGGGAACAGAATATCAGCTGCGGTTGAGCCAGACTAGGTTGGGTGAGCTTGAATGTTTGGATGGTAATAGAATTACGTATAAAGTGTTTTACTCCCGCAATAATAATCGATATTACCGAAACTTGATGGTTAACGTAAATTTTTAAACAATAGAATTGACATTTGCAATTTAGATTTGTTGCATCGTTAGAATAAATCTACTAAATGTGTGCGCGTTAACATTGATGACTCTTTTACTCTTTTGTCGATTGCTGTTTCGGAATTATATCGCGACTTTGGAACTCGCGGCACAATCAAGGAAAACAACTTTATGATGCGAAACGGGAATGGCTGTCTCGTAAAGTAGACTTGTATAATCTAGCACACCCTATCGCGAAATGATCTTTCCTCCTGCCTTGGGTAAGATACCGATAGTAGTAAAGATCACACAAGGGCAGGCTATATGTATTGGAAATCGAAGAACACACAGCGTCGTTCTGTGTGATTTCGCTCCCGCAGAATCCCTTCTGTTTGTCTTGGAATCCTCGGTTAGCAACGGCGAAAGGGCGCTTCTCCTTCGCTCCGAAATCGTCATTGTCGCAGCTTCATGGCGAACGGAACGGATCATCCGCGGCGTGGATGAAAACGACGCGAGGGATCACGGGCGCAAGGGAAACGGAAGATAGGGCGCGGAGGAAAGTTTGCGAACACTTAACTTTTCTATTCCTCCTCTGGGATCTTGTCCTCGTAAAACAGTTCTCGGACTTCCCTCTGCTCACCCGGCCTTGCTCACGCCCAGGCTTACGGACGAGAGCGCGCGTCGATCAGCCTGAAAGGCGCGCGAAACACGTAGCATAGCACGTGGTATCTCGTTTCGTTTAGCTTTTAACGAGTTTATGTGACTCCCGGATGGCTCGTAATTCTGACCCGGATTTTTACTGAAAACTTGGAGCGCGAGCGCAAATAAACTTCCGGCTAATTGCCAAGACCGAGGCCAAACGTATGATTAATCGATAACGTTCTATTTGAATTTAGATTTCAAGATCGGAATTAATAAATATAATAAATAGAGAGAAATCGAGCAACTTTTAATAGAAAAATAATAACAATTAAATCTCCAAGGATCTTTGCGTCAGTTTAATTCTATCTGAAATATAAATAAAGACAGCGCGTGTCTACAAATTTGCCAATCTTAATAAATGTAATTAAAACTAATTTGACGACACAGACGAGATTGATCATTTAGTTGATTATCGAAGAAATTTTTACAGAAAATTTATCGCTCACGTGTTCAATAGACATTTCAGCGAACTCATCAATAATTTCTTCATTTCGAGTTTCATCATCGTCGCAAGTAGTTCTTGCTCGAGAGATTTCATATATATATATATATATATATATATATATATTCGCCCGATAAGGCATCACGGACGCTTCAATGAATCCGGTACGACAAAAAAAAGACACTTGTCCATTGAAATACGACGATACGTTCGCGATTGCGAGACACAGTTTCGTCTCTTCTTTTCGGTCGCGGATACGAGTGTAGAAATATGGTACACATGCTCGGTTATTTTTCCTCGCTCTATTTACGATGATAGATGCAGAACGTCTCTCTCTCTCTCTCTCTCTCTTTTATTCGCCCGCATATATCCCTCACGTGGGCTTCGCGGTTCTCTCTATCTGCCTCTATCCTTTCCTCCACCAGCATTCAGCTCGAGAAGCAATCGCTGGAGCAATCCCGACTTCTTATTGATTGCGGCTCGGGGAACTCGTGCGTGTAAGGCGCTCAGCCTTCGGTCGAACGTTCGCTGCTATCCTGGCGAACGCTCCTCGCTATACGTCGTTTCCATGGAAATGAAAAGACACAGAAGGCACGCCGAAATTATTTCGCCGCATCGTCGATCGTCGTCCCGCACACATCGCCCATAATTTTTCCACCTCACTTTATCACTCGGCATAAAACACACGCACATATATATGTATATATATACCTATATATATATCTCTCGGGGGTCGTGCATCGCGCGGGATATAAGTTTTCGCGCCCGATATCAAAATATTTCGTCGAGATCCTAATGTATTTCTCTAGCTTGTCGGTTCTCTTTCCTGGCTTCCCTCTTCTCTGATTCCTCCATAATTCACTTTGTCGACTATGTCTCTCGCATTTCTGAGACACTGTCTTCAAATGTTCTGATGTTTTTTGGAATAAAAAAAATCAGGAACTATTCAAACATATGTACAGAGATGAGTGCGATCAATTCGTCAATTATAATAGATTTGCTCTTTGTTCTTCCATGTGTCAAAAAATTATATTCTACACAAAATCAAGACTTTTCATGTTATATTTTATATGTAGTTATTGTATTATTATTTCTATCTTTTTTTCTTTATTTTTTGTAATATAAAGAAACGTAATTTAATACCATGTACCGAAAGAATCGATGTACCTGTGCTTGTGATATGATTAAATTCTAATTCTCAAACTGACATCAGCAATAATTGTACAGAGATCGTTTGTTCTTTTCGCATATATCTCTGAATTGGCCGAATATGTAACGATTCGAGCGCGGAAGTGGAAATGTTTGTATCATGTAAACTTCAAAGCAACCATCTGCTGAATTTATTATGAAAGTGCCGTACGTGCGGTTTGTATGATATTCGAGCTGTGGAACACGCGGCATGTTTGCAATATTTCTCAACCGTACTTAAACGTTTGAAACCGCGACACACATACGCGCTTATTGCAAATGCCTGCATCTGCAATATTTGATTTTTCTGCAAGAAGTGAGCGAATCAGAAAAAATTAATATGAATTTATGTACGCTAGAGTAATGAATATTTAATTTTCTAAATTTGTTTTTAAAAAACTTGACATATTTAAATTA